TGTCATGCCCCATTGTGTCCATGAGATGCCCCGCGTGTCATGCCCCATTGTGTCCATGAGATGCCCCGCGTGTCATGCCCCATTGTGTCCATGAGATGCCCCGCGTGTCATGCCCCTTTGTGTCCATGAGATGCCCCGCGTGTCATGCCCCATTGTGTCCATGAGATGCCCCGCGTGTCATGCCCCATTTGTGTCCATGAGATGCCCCGCGTGTCATGCCCTATTGTGTCCATGAGATGCCCCGCGTGTCATGCCCTATTGTGTCCATGAGATGCCCCGCGTGTCATGCCCCATTGTGTCCATGAGATTCCCCGCGTGATGCCCCCCAATGCCCCACAGTGCATGGAGGCCCTGGATGGGTGGGGGGAGGTGACCCCTCTGGGACACCAGCTGCTGGAGCTGCCTTTGCCCCCCGCGTTGGGGAAGCTGGTGCTGCTGGGGGCGCTGCTGGGGTGCCTGGACCCCTGCCTGACCCTGGCCGCCTGCTTGGCCCACCGGGACCCCTTCGTCACCCCCACCTCCCCCGAGGGGAAAGTGCGCTTCAACAGAGTCAAAGTAGAGGTCTTCGCTGGGGGACCGACTGGCGCCCGTGGGGGACCGACTGGCGGCCGTGGGGGACCCGGTGGGAAGCATGCACCTGCTGCAGGTGGCTGGGGGTACAGCGACCACCTGGTGCTGGTGCGGGCGTTCCAGCTGTGGCAGGTGGCGCGTGCAGGTGGCTACGAGAGAAGCTGGTGCAGCCGCCACTTCGTCAGCAGCGTCGCCATGGACATGATTAGTGGCATCCGTCAACAGGTGGGTTGCCGGCCTGGTGGCGACAGTTCATCTGCAGGTGGTGACGGGCCCTCTGCAGGTGGTGACAGTTCCTGTGCAGGTGGTGACAGTTCCTCTGCCTTACTCGGTGGTTCGCAAGGGGGACTCGCCCGGGGCCAGCAGCTGTTGGCCCCTGGAGCGGCAAAGGATCCACCAGGGGGCGGGGGGCAATGTGGGATCAAGCAGCAAGGGGAGATGCCCAACACCCCCTCGCTCACAACAGAGGATGATGGCACTAGCCACCCCGGACCCATCTTTAAAAACTTTCAAGGCGAGGGCCCCTCGGGGGCCCACATCAGTGCCTGCCGGACGGTGGCGAGCCGTCTTGGACAGGCTGACCGCAGCCCTTAGGGTGATTGGACTCCGGTCCATTCACCCGCACCCTGGGCCGAGGAACTGGAGGGGCGGAGGGAGTGGGAGAGAGGCGAAGAGCAGAGAGGAGGGAAAGGCGCCACGAGGGTCAGAGGAGGAGGAGGAGGAGAGATCGAGAGAGAGAGAGAGGTTGAGGTTGTAAATGAAGGTGTGGATGGGAAACGAAGGAGTGAGAGAGTAATTGTGACGTGGAATGTACAGAGGTTGTCAATGAGAGAGCATAATAGGAGGCGTTTGAGGAGAGTGATAGAGAAGATTGTGAGGAAAGGGTGGGAGATTGTTTTGTTGAGTGAGATAAGTGCGGATGATGAAGGTGTGTTGTGGCTGGGAGAGGAAGAGGAAAGAGTGGTGGTGGTACATGGGAAGAAGTCGGCTGTTGTTTTGAGGGGTGAGGCTTTAGAGGTGTGGGTGAGAGATGGACAGAAGAGATGGTTTGAGGAGAGAGTGACTGCTGTGGTGTTGGGAGGGTTGCGACTGGTATCAGTGTATCAGCCTGTGTGGGGAACGAATGATGACGGTATGGAGAGGTACAGAAGAGCGGTTGAGAATCAAGTATCGTGTGGTGGAAGGTAGAAATTGATTATAGGGGGAGATTTTAACTCGAATGTTGGCAGAGGGAATGAAAGGGAAGGGATGTGTGGAAGGTATGTTGGGCGGGTTGGCGAGACGTTGGCGCGGGTGTGGAGGGAGGGGGAGGAGCTGGTGAGAGTCGGGGTGGGGGAGGGTTCCTCAGTGTCAGGAGTGCATCAGGGTGCTGTCGGCCGCCAACATGGCGGGGCACCAGAGGGCGTGCCTGGTGTGGGACCCTGGGGGGGGGGAAGGGGCAAGTCCCTGACGGGGATCGACGGCCTAAAAATGGAATGGACAGGCCCTCTGCTTGTGGTGACAGGCCCTTTGCAGGTGTTGACAGTTCCTCCTGACGCAGGTGCTGGCGCAGCTGCATGCCATGGGATTCGTCAAGAGCCGCGACCTGAGGGAGGAGAACCTGCACAGCGACAACATGGCGGCGGTGAAGGGGGCGCTGGTGGGGGCCGCGTACCCCCACCTGCTGAGGGTGGACAGGGAGCTCCTGACGCTGAGGTCAGCACGGCACAGCCAAGTGAGGCTTCACCCGAGCTCCTGCCTCCACGACCTCCTGGTGGGGGGCGACCTCCCCACCGCCGCGCGCCTGTCCAAGAAGGAAGTCGTTAGGGCGCTGCCCTCCGACTGGCTGGTGTACGACGAGGTGCTGGTGACGGGTGGGTGCTGGTGACGGGTGGGTGGTGGACGACGACCTTGACCTCCAAGCCCTCCGACGGCTCCTAACCTGTCCTTTCTTCCTGAGGCGGACCAGACCAAACACGTAGTTCATTAGGACTGAGGCCCTCCCTCTGGGGGAACAGGTAAATTAGCCCCCAAAAAGTCCCCCAGGAGGCGACACTAACGCTCCCTCAGAACCTAACACAGCCTGCCGGCTTCTGTGACTACGGCTCCTTCGTCGCCGGTGTTTCGTCGACTCCTGAAGACGTAGAGCCTGTGAATCTCATGCTTAGTTATGTCTATCTGTTCTCGTCCTTTCACGGGTCTTTTCATTTTTCGTTTGCTATTAAACTTATGTGTAACGTGGCATTTAAATTCGGTTGAACCAGACGCGTAGATAGTCACTTCAAAGAATAATAATAACATTAATTATAATAATAATATTAATAATAATGGTAATAATGATAATAATAATAAAGCTGCCTCCTCCCCTAGGCCCGCTGACGTACGCCCGGACGCTGACGTCAGTGTCGGCGCTGTCGGTGCTGCTGCTGGCGGGCCCCACTAGGCTGCCTCTGCAGGCGCTCAGTGGGCTCCAGGCTGACGGCGCTGATAGCGACAGCGACACTGGGCCCCAGGGCCTCGCGGGCTACAGCAGACTGGGCCTCGATGAATGGGTCCAGTTCGTGGGCCCTCCCAGCCACCTCCAGGTAGGTGGGCTCTACCAGCCACCTCCAGGAAGGTTGGCCCTACCAGCCACCTCCAGGTAGGTGGGCCCTACCAGCCACCTCCAGGTAGGTGGGCCCTACCAGCCACCTCCAGGTAGGTGGGCCCTACCAGCCACCTCCAAGTAGGTGGGCCCTCCCAGCCACCTCCAGGTAGGTGGGCCCTCCCAGCCACCTCCAGGTAGGTGGGCCCTCCCAGCCACCTCCTGCCCCTATCACAATTTAGGTTCCTATCAGAGTCTGGTGCAGTGACGCCGCAGGCTCGCCATCCGCGTAAATTAGCCTTAATTTCCCTGACTTGATTAAAATTGACACCAATTCATTTCCCTTTAAGAGTTATTTATTGGGCAGTGTGCAATTAAAAACGGTTGCTTAGCCGCTCATGTCCCCGTTTTGTTCTGCTTTGTCGCGCTAAATGAACGCCTCATCAGCGTTCGGTTTATTCTCTGGCGTCCGTAGTTCGTGTAACACGCCCTGTTACAGCTGGCGCTGCAGCTGCGTTACGAGCTACATGTCCGTGATCATTTATTAAGCTTTACCTGAAGATCGGGATACGTGACTAATTAAGGTCGTGAAAGATAAGTAAGAGAATGCTGTTTGAATAAAATTTCTTAATATGCGGGGTGGTAATACAAGAGTTACGATACAGGTAGAGGCTACGGCGTCGACCGTAAGGTCGGAGAACTCAACCGACGCGTTACATCGCGGAGTGCTTATCAACTACTTCGGGAGGCTCTTACTAAGGTTCCCAGCCCTTTTATAGACTTCGGCTTCCGCCCACAACTAAGGTCTTGATCGCGTGATCTATACGTAATGTCTTCCAGATGCCGACTCGTGTCTAGTACATTTCCATCAATCTCTATCAGGTCAAGTGAATATTACGTCACAATTACACGTATTATAATTATATAATTATAATGATTATAATGAGATGCCAGATTGACACCGGATATACACGCTCTGTTACAGCTGGCGCTGCAGCTGCGTTACAAGCTACACGCTCTTCTGCTGCGACGTCTCAAGTCCCCCGTTAAGGGCGTGTGTCCTGGCGACGCGGACGTCATCAGGGCCGTCGTGGCGGCGCTGACACGTCACGACGTCACGGCCAATCCTCGGACGACCTCCTCCCCAGCTGCAGGCACCCCCACTAGAACCGGCGCACCCTCAGGTACACCCCTCAGGTACACCCCTCAAGTGCAACCCTCAGGTTCACCACTCAGGTACACTCCCCATATACCATTTACGATACCAACCTCGATCAATATAAAATGCTTGTGTTGATATAAATGAGAGTATAACATTAGATGCCATGCTATATTTTGGTGCACATTATTCGTTACAAGATTATGATTAAGATGATTAAATCATTAAGATGGTTTTGACGCAAGTTTATATCACGTATCAACATACACTAAACATGGACTAGAATGGAAATACCAATTGTCTCCCTGTCCACCTAGCGGGGGTTGGGGGAGCAGCGGCACCCATTAACCTAGCGGGGGTTGGGGGAGGAGCGGCGGCACCCATTAACCTAGCGGGGGTTGGGGGAGCAGCACCCATTAACCTTGCTCTCTGTCCACCTAGCGAGGGTTGTTGGGGGAGCGGCACCCATTAACCTAGCGGGGGTTGGGGGAGCGGCACCCACTAACCTAGCGGGGGCTGGGGAGCGGCACCCATTAATCTAGCGGGGGTTGTGGGGGGAGCGGCACCCATTAACCTTGCTCTCTGTCCACCTAGCGGGGGCTGGGGGAGCAGCGGCACCCACTAACCCAGCGGGGGCTGGGGGAGCGGCACCCATTAACCCCAAGAAAAAAGGACGACACGTCGACAGACGGGCCATCAGGACAGAGGGCCGCGGTGGACGGCTGGTGGACGGAGTGGACCAAATAGCCAGCACCCTCGTGGCGGCCAGTCTGATGGACACGCGGCCTGGTGAGTCATTCGCTGCCATTCACGCTGCCATTCACGCTGCCATTCACGCTGTCATTCACGCTGCCATTCACGCTGCCATTCACGCTGCCATTCACCCTGCCATTCACCCTGCCATTCACCCTGCCATTCACGCTGCCATTCACCCTGCCATTCACCCTGCCATTGGGGTTGGTGTGAGCCCCAGGCACATGCCTTTATTCTCGCAATCCTCAGGATAATTCCCCCTCTTCTTCCCCCAGGTGGGGTGGGTGAACAACGATCATCTGTCCCCCAGTCCATCGACAGCCATCACCGACACCCACCTCCCCCACACCCGTCCCGACCTGGTGGGTGGACTATTGGGGGACTGGTGGGGGACTAATGGGGGACTGGTGGGGGACTAATGGGGGACTGGTGGGGGACTAATGGAGGACTGGTGGGGTCCTAATGGAGGACTGGCGGTGGACTAATGGAGGACTGGTGGGGGACTAATGGAGGACTGGTGGGGGACCAATTAGTCTGATGAGAGCCAAGTTTTCATCTTCATTTTAATACCCCTCAATTCCCCCTTACTTTATTCTCTCAATTCCCCCATACTCCCGCAGGAGATCCCCCACGTATTTGTCAGCCACCTGCTGGGCGGCATGGGTCGCGTTGACACCTCTTCCCCCATTGTGGGAAAAATTCACCCACCGGATAGGATGGCTACGGGACCCTCTTTAGGGTGGGGGTGGAGCCCTCCCCTCGACCTGGGGGACGTAGGGGACTTGCATCTGCTCCCGTCGATGCTAGTCGTAGTATTCAACTGGGGAAATTGATCCACCCATGTCTCCCCCAGACCTTCAGCTCATATTGTACGCTGAGAGACGCAGTAATTTTTCATGTTAATTTTCTGAACTGCATCTTTTATTTGTATTCCTTGTCTTTCAATAAAGAGTTTGTTATGAACGCCTTTCATTCTTATCCTTATGATTAATTGATTAATTAAGGGGAGTTACGTATGACTCTGGGGGCACAGGTCTGAGTGGGAGCTGACGCGTGTTCCCCCACACCAGGCGGAGTGGGGGAACAGATTCGAGGTGTTCCTCTAGAGGTGTGTGGGTGTTAGACGTAATCGGCTGGGTGAGTGGGTACGGAGTTGCGTGTTGTGAGACAATAAATATACGAAGTGTTGACAATTTATCTGAGTGTTGGGGGAGGCTCTCGAAATGGTGACAGGGGTTGTGGAGTTGAACAGCTGATGTTGGTAACTTGATTCTTCGAAAGGGGGGACTTTGGTTACTGAATGAACATGATCAGATGTTGCAGTCACCACTGCAGAGGCAGGGTGGTGGCTGTGAGGCTGGCATGTGGGGCAGAGTGGTGGTATGGAGGCTGGGAAGTGAGGCAGGGCCATCAGTGCATCAGGTGGCCCAAATGAGGGCGGATGAACGATAATCAGAGGCGGCGATCCATCGTGGCCTGGGACTGCTACGTCCCCAAACAAATACTAAGGAAACTAAGGGGAAGCTAAGAAGTGAGGCAGTGTGGTGTTGTGGAGGCTGGGAAGTGAGGCAAGGTAGTGGTGTGGAGGCTGGGAAATTAGACAGGGTGGTGACGAGGAGGCTGGGAAGAGACGGGGAAGCTAGGAAGTGAGGCAGGGCGGTGCAGTGGATGCTGGTAAGTGAGGCAGGGCGGTGGCAGGGCGGTGGCAGGGAAGTGAGGCAGGAGGCAGTGCGGTGGCTGGGAGTGAGGCAGGAGGCTGGGCGGGTCGCGGCAATTGTGTCGGAGGCAGGAAGTGGCCGCGGCGGTCATCGTTGAGGCCGCAACCGCCAGCGCTCAGTTGCTGCCTGGCCGCAGCGGTGTGAGGTGGTGTGTTGCTGCGTCTCTTGCGCGCTTCCTCGTCCTGTGTTGTTAGTGGCGCCGAAAGTCTTGCTTCCATAATAATAATAGCAGTGATTAAATGGTAAATACATATCATTGACGAGAGAAATAAATGCCGTAATTCATTTATACTTGAGAGAATAATGTTACTGTGATAAAGTTTAGCCTGGAAAATGTTTTCCCTTCAAAATCTGGAGATGAATTGTTGAAGAAAGAATCGGTTATAACTAACATTAATTTGTATATTATTTGAATGAGCGCGGGGCGCTGATACAAGAGTTTGTACATTAATGACAAAAGCGTCGAGTTTATGACGAAAATGCACATGTTGATGGATAAATAGATGTGTACATGGATAAATACAGACAAAGGTGAATACTGGAAAAGTTTTTGATAGAAGGAAGATAACAGAGCACATGACGGCCATGGGACCATCGCTGTTGGCGCTGTTGCTGTGGGGGGGCGTCGTCGTGGGGGCCTCCAGTGCCCCGAGGATGACCGCGAGGGGCAGACGTGCCCTCGTCCTGCCCGGATCCCCTGAGGGGACCCCAACCTACGCCCTCTATGGGGTGAACTGCAACGCCGTCTGCAGCCAAGTGAGTGGTACTTACGACCGCCGTGGTACTTACGACCGCCGTGATACTTACGATCGCCGTGGTACTTATGACTACCGTGGTACTTACGCCCGCCGTGGTACTTACGCCCGCCGTGGTACTTACGCCCGCCGTGGTACTTACGCCCGCCGTGGTACTTACGCCCGCCGTGGTACTTACGCCCGC